AGAAAGAAAGAAAGAAAGAAAGAAAGAAAGAAAGAAAGAAAGAAAGAGAAAGGAAGAAGATTGTTACACAGTATTCAAATTTAACTGAGGCATCCAAAGGATAGAGACTGGACCACAGAAGGTGAGGTGCAGTTAGGAAACCTAAGCATCCGAAGCAGTGAGGACACTGGATTTTACAAGTAGCGATTAGTTAAAAAAAACTGGAGGTAGAAACTGTTAATAGCCACCATCGGCCTATACTATAACAGTACAACTAAAGAGGTCAAGGGGATCAGGTCCGACTTCTGTGGGATTTACCTGGACCTCAATGGTTTTTTTGTTCTACACAGAAAGATGTTTACATTTCCAGAGACATTCCTAACGGTCCTCTCTACTCTCTATCCCCAAGTTCAGCAATTGGTTGATTTTTCTTCAAGTTGTTTGGTTGTTCACATGTTTCTGTAGGAACAACATAAATCCACCTATGTGAAGTCTTGCTCGCAAACACGTGCTGGAAAACAACTAAAATGCCATGTCGCCAGCCGGGCGTGGCTGCGAAGTCATTTGAGAGGCTGAGGCAGGAGGATTGTCACTAGTTGGGCTAGGTCGTGAGTTCCAAGCCAGCCTAGGTTAGAGGGAGACCCTGTCTCAAAACAAATAAGCAAATTAATTAAAAACCCCGAACAACAACAAAAGAGAAAGAACTAAATAAAATACAATAATGAGAATAAGACACAAAGGTAGAGGCTGTGTTGTACCAGATGAAATATTCCGACCTCGAACCAAGCAGGCCTGTAAAATGCAGTATTTCTAGAGCTTTTCAGTAGACTCGACAGAAAGAGTGAAAGGAACGCTCGCTTAAGCCTTTGCCTACATTGGTGCAAACTTCTAACTCCACTGTTTGTTTATCCGACTGAGTCCACAGGCAGCAAACTGTGAGAAAGAGAGACAGGATGCTAGGAGCATTGCCTAACCCTCCATTGGTGCTTCTGCTCGGGTTCTCTCTGTCTGAAACAGAGCTACACGCCAGGCTCTCTGCATCAGCTAGGCGGTGTCCCAGGCGCTGCCGCAGGACTCTGGGTACCAAATCCGGTGGCCCGGGTGGAAGCTGGTGTCAAGGCCAATACTGGGTGGGGAACCTAGGACCCAGGTTAGGAACGCTCCAAAGCACGTTCCGACTTTCCCTCTCTGGGACCACGGACCTGGGGGGGTGTGAGGTAGCTTCAAATGCCTGGCCATGGTCAATTGTTATGGATGCCCCACCGGCCATCCCCCAGGCTGCCAGCCCACCGGAAGAGAGGGAAGGCTGGAGAGCGGCGGGCAGGGGCAGATTTGATGTCTGCGGAAGGGCTAGGTCGCTGCCCTTAGGGACCCACGACAAAGATGCCAGCCCCGCCCCGGTGCGACAGACCCCGAGAGCCTGCAAAGGGCTGCGCTCGAGTTTGCAGACGGTCTGCACCGGCGGGAAGTTGTGGCAGGCGGAAACCGCCAGGACGCCCCATCTCCATCTCGCCCCACCCAGGCAGGTGGCCGCAGCATACCTTGGTGGCGGGGTCCGCGTCGGCAGGTTCTTCAGCTGCTCCTGGTGCTTCCGCTGCGGGCCCGTGGCCACTGAGCTCCAGCTCACTCGGCGTGTCGCTCCCCGCCGGCTGCTCGGGACTCCGCTGCTCGGTGGAACTGCCCGCGCCCATGGCTCAGTGGCTCTTCTACACCCGCTGGCTAGCGGCCTTTCAGGGACCGCGGGGACGCCGAGGGGCTAGGGGACGTGCTCCCAGGACCACGGGGACTAGGGGTGAGGAGCACCGGCTCTCCGCGATCCTGCTGAGAACGCGCCCGGACTGCGAATGAAGGGGACGCGCTCGTGGCAAACTCCTTAAAAGAAAAAAAAAAAGCCACCTCGTAGCCTCCTCCCCCCTCCTTGTTTTTCCCTCCCTTCATCACATGAGCACAGCCCAGACACGCCTTGCAGCATCTCCCCCTAGGCTGCTAGGACCAGAGGCTCCGCCACCAGGTTCCCAGCAGCCCACCCCACCCCCCAGGGCTCCTCGGGTCCCTAAAAGGGGACAGAGCTTTGGGATCTGTCCCGGGGCTGAAGAAGGTTCAGGGACAGCAAGACAGAAGGGGGAGGCAGCAAAAGCTTTGTTTTTTAATTCAATGATTGATACCCTAGGGTTGGAGTTTCTGCAGCCCTGGGGATTTGCATCTGGCCAGGCGCGAACCCAAATCCCCATTTGCTTTTCTTCAGATTGTGTTTGACTTGAGGCATTTGTTCCAGCCTTCTCTCCTTTAGCAGGAGAAAGGAAGCGCTCCTGGGCTGTTCCTGAGCCTGGCCATATTAGGACGGCTCACGTGGCAGGAGCTGGGAAACCCAGAGGTTGATGCAGTCAGACCACTGCTGAGGTGGGCCCAGTGCCCCCGTGGTCCCAGCCAGTGATGTCAGCTGATGCCATCAACAGAGCTCACCGCCCTCTTTCCCCAGGGAACGCGGGGAAATGAAGCTGTTACTGGAAGTGTGCCTGTCCTTTGAGGTCCGATGCTGAAGGTTACACATCCAGGCCACTTGTCTCTGCTGACGCCGAAACACCACGTTGGCTTAGGTCTGTTCAGTCACCATTGGTATCCTCCAATCATGAAGATTCCGAACACTAGCGAAGGGGCTTGTCTGTTTTCTTCCGCCCCTTGATTAAATAATCATTCTATTAAAGTCGCAGCCAATGAGTCTTTGACTTAAACTGAAATTTCGTTGGATTACCCCGCTCTAAGCATGAGGGTGCTGGAGAGGAAACTATAAAACAATCCCAGGTGAGCCAGGAGTTCTGTTCATGCTTGTAATCCTGATACAGGAGCGACAGAGCCAAGAGGCTCACCTTGAGACTCAGGCGCCCTCCTGGGTTGGATAGTGAATTCCAGCCCAGCTTAAGAGCACCAGAGTGAGACTCTGCTGGTGAATGAACTAAGGAAGATTTAAAAAAACAGTAAGAGCACTGAGCCTGGGTGCCAGGTAACTAGCTCATCCCCAGGTTAGGTGCAGGTGAGCTGAGTGTCCAGGTAACTAGCTCATCCCCAGGTTAGGTACAGGTGAGCTCAGTGTCTACGGAAACATTAACTTGGTGCCTTATGCATTGTCATTCAAGAACATATCGGAAACCACTCTCATTAGTTTTTCAAGATGATAGAATTTGTTTCTTGGGACTGGAGAGATGGCTCAGTGGTTAAGAGCACTGACTGCTCTTCCAGAGGATCCAGGTTCAATTCCCAGCACTCTCATATCAGTTCACAACTGTTTGTAATTCCAGTCCCATGGGATCTGACACTTTCATAATATACATGCAGGCAAAACACCAATGCATGTAAAATAAACTAAATAAGTCATTTAAAAATGTGTTTCCTCAATTATTTTATTTTTGTGGATATACATAATGGCCAATTTCTCTGGAGTTTATTCTGTTAAAAAGATTTTCAAGCTGCTAGTCTGTAGCTATTTGGAAGCCTATCACCTGTCTCAATTTGTTTTGTTTGTTGAGACAGAATTTCACAGTCCAGGCTAGCTGTGAGCACTCTAGCCACTGTCTCTGGAGAGAAGACAGTGCAGATTTGAGAGACCACACCCTGCTTTAACTTAAAGTTTGACTGTTTGGAGAATATTAGCATCGCCCCTCCCCCAGCTCTTAAAGTGTTAGGGAGTGGAGGCCTTGGGCGTGTGAGAGAGACAAGCACTCTAGCAGTGAGCTGTGTATCTGCCCCAAACGTGAGCATTCTCACCTTGTAACGGGTACCGTTCAGAAGACATTACCTAGATCATCAATACACTTCTTACACAACCCCATAGCAAAAGACATTGCATAGGTCATCAATACACTCCTTACAACAACCCGATGGCAGACATCCTATTGTCCTCATTTTACCAGTAGAGAAAGGGGAGGGAATTAACTAAAAAAATCAAATTTTGTGTACCCAAGGTTTCCCAGTTGGTAGTTGGATGAGCAAGGCACCCAATGGGCATGTGACTTTCGAGCCCACACTCAATCGCCACCCAACACTTTGTTCTCCCACAAGCAGCTTCCATTACTCAATCCCTTTCTCTCAAGGATGTTAGTGAAAAGAGACGTTTTTGATCTCAGGATGGTAGGAACTTGAAAATGCAGTTGGAGCAGTTTGAGAACCTGGGTGTGGTTCCGATGTAGAGCCCTGGATCACGTGCTTTGGGTTCTATAGCCACACCAAAATGGGGGAGGGGCTTATTCGAGAACAATGAAGTCAGCACAGTTGAAAACGCAGCAGGAGGTATTATCCATACTGATTGCTTTGATACAAACGGTATCAATGTTCCCCCATTCTGTGAGATTATGCTGTTCAAGTTCTTGGGAAATTCTTGACAAAGCTTTTCACATCAGTAGCCTTGAAGTGTTCAGAACAGATTTCAAGGCCAGAGATTTCCAGCTAGCCCTGTGCGGCCGGTGCCGAGGAATACATTGCCTGTGTCTGTGTGCAGAACAAGCTACTCCTTTATGCTTTCTTATCCAGGCTATAAAACTGTGCGTTTTCTTATTTTTCAAAAGTGAAACTGAGGGGGGTGGGGAGATGGCTCAGTCAGATGGTACAAACACGAGGAGGGCCTGAGTTTAGGTTTTTAGCGTCCGCGTATAAAGTCTAGTGAGGTGGGCTTCTGACTGCAGTCCCAGCAAGGCAGGTGAGGGAGGATTGTGATCAAGATGCTCCCTGAAGACTCTTGGCCAACCTAGACAAGTCAGCAAGAGTTCCTGTCAGAAAAGGACAACCTCAAAGCCCTGAGTTTTTGTGGTGCACGTCTTTAATCCCAGGACCTGGGAGGTGGAGGCTGGCAGAACTTTGTGAACTGTTCCAGCGAAGTTCCAGGCTGGTCAGGGTCACATAGCGCCACCCTGTCTCAAAACCGAAACTAAACCAACCGAAACACCTGGAGAGCAACCTGGAGAGCAACTGAGGAAGGCACCTGCATAGACTGTTGCCCCACATGGCCTCAAATGCACGTGCACACTCACCCCGGAACACATACACACACACACACACACCCACCCCTAAAAAGAAGCAAAAAACAAAACACCCACCAGCTAGGTGAGATGCACACCCCTGCAATCCAAGCACCTGTGAGGCTGAGACAGGAAGATTGTGAGTTCGAGGCCATCGTAAGTACACACTGAGTCTCTGTCTTGAAAAGCAAAGCAAACAAACAGAAAAACCAAGAAAACAAAGCATAAAAAGTAAAATTGTATTTTTAAGGGCCTGGAGGTATAACGGTCAGTATTAGGGTACTTCCTTAGCTCACGTGAAGTCTTGAGCTTCATCCTCAATGTAGAAAAATGAAGAGATGTGCACAGACTATTCTCTATTCCTGCCTAAACCACCTCCAGGACACCGGTATAGTATAGTAGTTAAAAGACTCAGCCAGGCCTGGGACACAAACCTACAATCTCAGCACTGGGCAGACTGATACATGAGGATTCCCATGAATCTGAGGCTAGCCTGGGTCACATAGTAAATCTGAGGGTAGCTTGGACTACATAACAAAACCTTAAAGTTAGCCTTGCTTGGTTGCTTGTTTTTCATGCCAGGGCTTCTCTGTGTAGCCCTCCCTCGCTGCCCTGGTGTAGACCAGGCTGGCATGCCTTTAATCCCAGCACTCAGGAGGCAGAGGCAGGCGGATCTCTGTGAGTTTGAGGCCGGCCTGGTCTACAAGAGCTAGCTCCAGGACAGGCTCCAAAGCTACAGAGAAACCCTGTCTTGAAAAATCAAAAAAACAAAAAAAAAATCTGCCTGCCTCTGCCTGAGTTCTGGAATTAAGGCGTGGATCACCACCACCCAGGTAGAGGGTTAGTCTTTACTGAAGGTTGTTTTTTTGCTTTCTCCCCCTCTTAATTCTGTTGTTTGAGCCAGACTCCTCCCCTCATGCAGTCGACTGTCACAAGAAAAAGTGTGGCCACACCGACAACCTGCCCCCCAAGAAGATGGTGAAATAAAGCTGGGGCCATACCTAGCCCATGACCCTGGGACCAAATAAAGACCCCTCCCATAGGGCTCACTCAGGCTCTAGGGCTCCTCTCGGGGGAGGACCTGGAATTTCTGGCCCTTTTGCCTCTTCAGTGTTGGGATTATAGGACAGACGTTACCTGGATTTCAGGTACGGATCAGAGCAGTACACTCAGTTTTATTCAGAGCCGGTAGTAAAATACTTTTTTTTCTTTTTCTTGAGACAGGGTTTCTTTGTGTAACCTTGGTTGTCCTGGATGGAACTAGCTCTGCAGTCCAGGCTGGCCTTGAACTCACAGAGATCTGCCTGCCTGTGCCTCCTGAGTGCTGAGATTAAAGGTGTGTGCCACCCCTACCCAGCACATAGAACACTCTTTCATCTTAGGGCTTCGTACACGCTAAGGAGGCACTTCGTTAACTGATCGACGTCCCCAACCCTCCCACACACATTCATCAAGTGCCTACCCTAGGCCAAACACAGAGTTATGGCCCTGTTTTCTGCCCGATGCTCAGATGCAAATCTCCAAGGTTTCCTTGTGTTGGGTTTTGGTAATATCTGAAGAATTGGTCTCCTGGCCTCTGTGAAGCTGCAGGCAGCTGGCCCTGCTTTCCACCCCTCCCTTGGAGGCGTCAGTTACACAGGTTCTGCCTAGCAGCCCTCACTGCCTTCTGACACACCACAGGGCGCAGGTGTCCTCCCCCACACCCTCCCATGGGACAGCCAGTGACTGAGATGTTTCCCCGAGAGGGTTAATTCTCTCATAAAAAAGTTTGAGATGTCTCAAAAACAAATATGCATTGCCTGTAGGGCAGGCCGAGCTTGTATTTCTTAAGTTTATTTCTCCAGA